GCAGTTATCGTAGTAATGGAACTATGGATCAGGAGAGCTACAAGGAGCATTTGACAGAAATCATATCAGGTGACCATTACCATGAAGTTATAATAAAGAAGAAGCCTAATCCAAAGCTTTCATACAAAATGAAGGATTCAGGTTTATAAGCATATTTTATGGACTATGCAGAATCTATGAATATATCAGAATTTAAGTAGAATTATTCATTCAAACTACTACCAAGCTAGGCTACAGCTCCACCAAAAAGCTTCTTACTATTGTGGTGTACGGGATGATTTGAGAAAACTTGATAAATTATTCAACACATCACAACAACAATAAAAATCAATCAATAATCAAGATAGTGCTTCTGCATAGCCACGATATGCCTACATGCAATAAACAGTACAGTCCTACCGAGCGAGGATCGATATGATCCTATCCTATCCCTTACTGATAATTTTCCTTTCTCGTGGATGTTTGATTGTCACTGCCAGGTGTATTCAGGCACGATGAGAGGATGAACTCTACGAAGTGTAATAATGACAAAGGCTAAGGTCAAGTCCTTGAGGAATATGAGGCAATATCTCAGTAGCAGGCTTCCTAGGTTGTGTCTCATTATTCTGGTTCGGTTAGTCAAGGTTTTTAACGAGGACTCAAACATACACTGGCAACGAAACAGCTGTTTTAATTGCCATCTCTCACAAATGTTTCCAGACATTGCTTATATAGTTTACAATGATAGGTTTACACAGGATCTCGTAGATGATGAAGCTCATAAAGCAAAGAACTGGGATAGCTTATTCGGCATCGTCTCCACTTTCAGAAGAGGCTCTGACTTCTCTTGAAGTCATAGAAATTTTTTTCAGACTTCTCGCATACTATGCAGTGCATATCCTCAACAGCGATAGGACTCATCCAGTTTCTCGCTCGTTAACGTTCAAGATGGCGAGGAATTTTTTGGTTCAGATTAGGCTTACCTCAACATCGCGATCACTTGTGAGTTTCTCCACGTTGTACATGCAAAAAATGCTTTTTCCGAGATCAGGGACTAGGCATAATTCATTTATAATATTTATCTCAGGCTTTTCATAGGGTTACTTACTGAAAAACTAGATCTACGTCATCACGAAATGGGAGAGTGCGCCCTTACCGGAGAGCTTCAGCGAGACAGAACTCGCCTGAGAAGCGAGCGTATCTCCTATGGGAGGAATTCGAGACTTGAATTTGGCTTATGACGACATTTCTCTCTTTTATAATGTTACACATTGCATTCTGAATCCTCTCGACATTTTTTGAAGAAACTTATCTCCTTGATTGTGAAACCCGCTATCGCAGAGCTCATCTTCCATCATTAGATGAAGTGCTTTTGGCACTTTGAGTGAATCAATGTGGAATCACCCTACGAGAACTCCGTGGATTGATCATCCCCACTGACTTACTCAGGCTCTAGGCTATGTCCTAGAATTTGTGAGGAAAACTGCAAAACTATTGCTGCAGCATAATGTATGCAAGATAATGAGACTCGCCAGAACACATTCAGACTGACGTTTCCCTGAACAGCGTCGTGTAAATGGTGTATTTTGACAAGTATCCTCATCATACTCTTCACCTTAAAGGAGTTGTCTGCCCTTGTTTTTCATTTTCGAAAATTATCATGCTCACCCGAAAGGAAGGCGTCCCTTTCGATGGGTCGACATTGCATTGGGAATGAAATTCTCCATAAGAATGCACAGGAAAGGAGGATTCGTTGGAAGTTAGTTTGATAGCTATGCGTTTTAGAAAGCCGAGTCAAAGAGGCTAATCAATGTATCACATCTGACATGATTGTACATATAGAACTTGAATGAAGGTGGCTGTCGGAATCTCGAAGGTTCCCCACAAAATGAGCTGGAATACCTCAACGAGAGAAACATACTCAATTCATATGTGCTTCCTCCCACTATAGTTCACCCACATCAAATGAAACGCCGAAAAATCGTTTGGGCGTTTCAGGTGCAGTTATGGAGCATGTTATTCAGGGTTCAAGGAAGTATTCATGTACAAATGGCATTGTAGAATACACCAATACTGGAACAGCGAGGCATTGTTTTCCACGATTATCTTTTCCACGTTAAACCCTTTAAAAAATGAGAAGCCTGCCCGTCTAAAATTATTGCTTTCCCGTGCAACACATTTCTCATTTGCGTGCACCACGTAATATCGTCGGAAATGTTAGTGTTTGCGAATAAGAGATGTTTCCCTTAACCGGCACCAAACTAGATTGACACCATAGGACTAATTAGCTTTCTAAATCTGCCAATTCTTGAATTACCCTATAAGCATCCTCACTGTAGTTGCTGTCTAATTAAGGGAAGAAAATTGGAACGACATTAGGTAAGTCACTTTGTTTTCTTTTTTGCTTGTAATGAAGCGATAACACAACATTCGTTTCCAGTCTTGCTGATGAGCAAATAGATGATTTCAACAAGGCTATTCCTGAGATTGGATTCAGGAATCGTTGAACTGATTAACATCAGCCACTTACAAATCTACCTTCTGCTCGAGCAAGTACACCAACACGTAGCAGTTTTTGATCGATTCACCCATAATGGCCATTTCGTCAGGCTACCCGAAAAGTTAGTTATACCCGGATAAAGGATATATCGAAAAGGTTTCGATTACAATCGGTTAGAGTACATGGAAATTACTCGACAGAACCACTTATTGCCGCATTAAAGCAGTGAAAGACCTCAAGCAAAACCAACCGAATAAATGCCAACCGTTGCTAGATTATTTGTTTTGAAAAATTGATACTATTATATAAAGATCGAATGATGAATAGAGTATCAGCCGCTTTTCCACTTTTAGAGTGCAAGCGATCATCAGCGATCATGGAAAATCACTGAGCATTGTAAAGAAATCTCGACCAGGGATTGTAAAAGAACGACAAGCGATTAAGTCAATGGGAGGGGTTTTCGTTAACGATGATAGCGTTTCCTGAGAAGTCGATGATAACGGGAATAAAGTGTGCTCTCCTTGTTGAAGGAACTCTTGTCATACGCTGGAACGGAAATTTCATGGAAACATCAGTGGAGTCTGGCATTTTATATAACGTGCGTGAGGTAAGTGCACGTGCGGAAGGTAGTACTTGCAAATGAGGCGGCTGCAGATACGACAGAGAACGTCCTTCTCTCAAGAGTGCTTAAACGATGTAGTTTTCATTAGACAATGAATACACTGTAAAGGCCTCGCTACTGAATGGATAGATGACGTGAAAGTGCAGAGTTAAAGGCATAGTGTATATTAATTTCGAAGTACACTTTTTGTGTTGAAAGCGAAGCGTTCGTAGTGAAGAGTGCATCGGTGGCGAAGAAAGCAATTAAATCCGACAAGATAGCGAAAAAAGAGGATTTCTAAAAGTAGTGCAAATAGAGGTTGTACAAGATCAACGTTACGGATATTGCGAAATTGGAAGTCCGGGTGGCGTCCTAGTCTTATCGCTAAATTTTTTGTGGTTCGAGACGTGTTTATTGTAAATATGTTTCTCCATTATCCGGTCAGTCAACCTGTACATGACGCTGGTACCGATACCATCTGAAGTGAGGGATTCAGTGAGGTTACTAGCGTAATGTGAAACCGTAAAGCAACTTCTGAAAATATCCTACTTCATGCTTCATCAGCTCATCCAGAGTCCACTGTGAACGGTAATACGGTGTTACAAGGTCAAGGAAAATATCGCACTCACATACATACATATATATACATACATACATACATACATACATACATACATACATACATACATACATACATACATATATACATATATACATACATACATACATACATACATACATACATACATACATACATACATACATACATACATATACAATGGCTTGGGAGTTATCCGTAGTACTCTGAAAAAAA